AAACCAGTGACTAGCAGAAATTGCTGAGCTTACAGGATGGCAAATAAGAAAAGACACAACTTGCTGAAATGCTGAAAATTGTCTGCTTGTAAGATAACAAAACTGGGTGAAATCCGTTGGAACCAACATGGCCAACTGGAGTCTGCAAATGAGCTTGCTAATATCACAGCCCAAATTTCCACCTATGTTTCATACTAACTCCTCCCAAATTTGCATATGTGACCCTTGAGGAGGCACGAAGAGATAACTGCACATGCTCAAGGACTTTCCAGACCTCCCCTCTCCTTCCACCAATCACCCAGAATCCACCCCCTATACCTTTTCTAATAAATGTACTGTCTTAAAGCCAGAACAGGGAGACAGATTTGACATGGAGTCCTGTCTTCTTGTTGGTCCATTTGCAATAAACCTTTTCTTTTCTCAAAACCCAGAACCATAGTATTGGCTTCTAGTTCATTGGGCAGCAAGCCCCTTTTGCTCAGTATCGATTTCTCTTTGGAATTCAAATTTCTTAAGGAATAGATTGAACTAAATATAATTACTTCATTTAACAGGTATTTTCTGAATGCTTACTTTGTGTCAGTCTTTAATCCTTGGAAAAGAAAGATAAAGTATAAAAATCTGCCCTCCTAAAGCTTACAGTCTGTGAGAGACAAACTTTCTATACATACAAGTACAATGTAAGTGTCAGTACCTTCGTTAGCTATCTTCAGTTGATATGTTAGGAAACTATTAGTCCTGTCTCCTTTTTTTCCTTTCTTTCCTCTGTAATCAATTTAGTTGTAGTAGGATAGAAGAGGATTAAGGAAGCTATCACATTGTAGACAAATAATATATGTTGATCAAATGAATGGATACTTGCAGGTCTCTGTTATATGTAGATCTCTTGATACTTTTTTTTTCATTTATCTCATAAATCTTATTTCCTCCTTACCTTCCCCCTCAGACACTGCTTATGTGGGAACTAAATCTTCAGATTTCATTATAAAATATTCAGTGCATATATATAATTGTGCATGCTATAAACCGTTAACTATACTTGTAAATAATTAATGATAATGTTATATTGTTATGTTGAAATTTCATCATCTTTTGTCTACATATTGCATGATTTTGTTGTTCTTATCACATCCTCTTCTCTTTTGGCTATACAAAACTTTATGTTGCTTATAATTCTAGAGTACTTACTTTTATAAACTCTAAACATCAGCTCATGCACTTAGCTGTTTGTTCAGAATATGAAATCAATATATCATTTTTCTAACACAAGCATACTGAGCATACAGTCTTTCCTAATTCATTTTGAATGCATGCATGGTAATAAATCTAGCAGTAGCTAAAAAAAATAATTCACTTTAGTCTCAGCCTTTACTGGACCATTAGTCACTTATCAGGTTTTAATGGCTTAAATATATGGAACACTCTATAAATAATTAGCTTTTCTTCATTCATATCAGGATGTCTTATGCCCCTAACTATAGGAACACATCGAAAATGAAAATGTATACACACACACACACATACACACTACATATAACTAGAGCTCCTTTCTCTCTCTTCTTTTCCTAGCTCTTATTCTCTTTAGTGCCTCAGCCCAGGCAGCATAATCTGCAATGTTTTCCTGAACTCTGCACTCCAGGTGGCTGCTCCACCTGTGTGGTTCCATAGGTCCCTAGGTACACCTCTGTCAAGCCCTCCTCGCTGCGAATTGCTATATGGCAAATATATTTCAGTACCTTGGACAATCTCTGATATATCTGTGCACATATAATAAATAGTTGTTGAAATAAGAAAATTTGAGTAAATGAACATCTCTACTTTGTATCCCCAACAAGTAAGTCTGTCTATAAGTGCTTAATGAAAGTTGCATAAATGAATGAACAACTGAATGAATAAATAGAGAAACTTGGCAAATTACTGATAAGGGACT